AGCATAACAGAAGAAACAAGAGCCAGACTGGAGAGGGTCCAAGAATAAACCATAAGTTTAATGGTGCACATTCAGCAAGATGAAAGGAAAGGCAGAGATGAAGGTAGCTGGAGAGAAGTGGGGTCAAAGGATGCTAGTAGACTTATTTAAGCCCTGGGAGAAACAAGTGAATATTTGCTTACTAGAGAAGAGACAGATAACAGAGTAAGAGAGGTGCCAAGAACTGGAACAAGGGATACCTACACAGAATGTGAACATTTGAACTAAAGCAGACTTTCCTCTTCTACTTCCCAGAGAGGGAGATGTAAAAGAGGGAAGTAAATAGGCAGTACACTCAGTCAAATCCTCCTGGAATAGACAGCTAGCACAAAGAGAAAAAAGGAGATACTAATAGTGACAAAGGTCCGAGAAGAAAGTCGGAGGGGGCAACACAGGCAGTGGATTATTTTTTTATGCTTTAAACCAATAAACGGAGCAATCATTGTCACTGTTCAAGGTGCTTTCAACTATTCCACAGCACAAGAGAAGAGGGCAAGTCACACAGAGGGTAAACAGACTAACCTTGAAATGGCAGAGGGTAGAGGAGCAAGAAAGAAAAGAATAAGTGATCAAGACAGTTATGAGAGCGCCAAGAGCAAGTGAGAAAGCTGGTAAACATTCCAAAGTGCGAAGGAATACAGAGGGCCTCAGACAAGATGCTGGATGACCTGCATCTTTTCCCTATCACTTGGTTTTAGCCGCAAGAGACATCAGCGAGAACAGTTCAGTGAAGCCTAATCGACATTAAGAGACCTTTTGGTAAGGCGGAGAACGACGAGCCAACGTCTCAGGTTCAACGAAGAACTGCAAGCAAGGAAGCACACAGCTATGAAGACCTACTCAATCTCAACACAAGAGACGAAAGACAAGTCTGGACGCATAGAAGAAAAAGAAAGCTGAATGCAGAGAGGAAGACAGAGACAGGAAGAAGGATGAGGGAGGGGCAGGACAGGTAACAAAACCAACACACATTTGTTTCATAATCTCGTACGGGATACAGCATGAATCCTGTAGAAAAAGAACCAGATAGGAAAGGTCAAATTTTAGAAAGAGGTAAGAACTAGAGGAGGAAAAGTAAATAAAAGAGCTATGAGACAGCCAGAGATGTTTGTCTTTTATGAACAGCATGGACATCCTAAAGACCACCCGGGGAAGAGGGTATCAGCACAGGCATTACGTATGCAAGTCAAGAGGTGCAGCACAGAGCTAAGTATTGTCCCCAAGTAGAGATGGGCTGGCAAGCTATAGTGGGTGTAAAAAGAATCTGCATTTCTCCTGGTAAGCAGAAGAAGAGTGCTCAGATAGAAAGGGGCAGATTCCTAGAAACTGCACAACAACGGTAGTAACACAAAGGAGAGAAAGGGAGAGGGAGGAGAACCAAGGCAAAAAGGACAAGGAGACAAAGATGGCAACAACAACAAGGGCTGTTTTCACGTAGAAAATAGCTCTAGCAAGAGGTCACAAGGAGTCTCAGCAGACAGTTTTGAAGAGTCTTGTATCACTATACGCAGCGTAACCTGCAGGCTTGCACCTTCCCTGAGTGAAGCATATTGCAGCTAGCACAGATAAGATTTATGCTGCTTCCCTAATATACTGGCACCTTATAATTGAGTCTTCAGTAGCTTTTTGACTCCATTTCGATTAAAAAAACCCAAACCAAACCAAAAAAAAAAAACCATAAAGAACAGACCAAGGGAAAAAGGCAACGCTCATTTGTATTCAGAATGTTAATCTCAAGCCAGTTGCTTATTCCTTGTAACGCACTTTTTTCTCTCCCTGCCCGCTGGCGTGGTTCTGTGTGGCCCAAAGAGGCTCTCTCCCCCTTTAAAGTGGGCTGGCCTGCAGGCATGTCAATGCCACCTGTGTAGAGCTGGCAGCAGACAGGAAAGGAGCACATCATTTCCTGTGCACCTGCTCACAATATCTCACTTTTTACTCAGCAAAGCAGAGAGCACTTACGCCACCCAGGTAGGTGGAATGCAACTGCTTCACGGTTCAAGCTAAGGTTGCCTGGAGAATCCTAACTTTGCATTTTCTGGCTTCCTATTTATAAATATAACCACGCGGATGTTTTCCAAATATTTACTGAGAACTTCCATTCCCCTAAGGAAGCTGTCTGGAAACGCTCTCATCGGACCGCTCCAAAGGGCGGACAGACACAGTATACATACCTGCTCTTCACTAACAACTATCCGGAGGTGACTTAAGGGCCCTGAAACGTTCCGTTCCTGGATGATGACTCAGCCCCAAAGGTGGACCTACATACCAGCTCTGTGTCTCATCTGTATGGAAATAGCCAAAAGCGCTTCACAACTTGAGGCGCTCAAGAATGAAAATATGCAGCTCTGTACAGAATGATATTTTGCAGCTGCAAGATGTCAGCTCCAAGCTGCAAACTCCCGTCTCTAATGATCCTTCTTCTACAAGGGGGCCAGCTCCGTTACAACTACGGCAATGTAAACTTGGCAGTCCTCCCTACGTAAACCACAGCTCATCAGCTGGTAACAAATTCCTGGCACTCCAGCAGCTGCGTCAAAGTATGTCTAAAGGACCTTAAGTCTTTTTCCTTCAAGTGTCCACTCTCATGCAGCCCTCCCAGAACAACAGAACAGCAGTCAGCTGTCAGAACAAGAACCAACTCTGGATCAGCATGTTCACCCACACAAACTCACTACTTAAGAATGTCTTCAGAGCAGCCCGTTCGTTTGGTGACCAACATCCTATAGCCCTCACTTAAAAAGGCAAATCTCCTCAATGACCAAAAACCCACACCCACTTCAGTTTTAGCCACTTGGAGTCACTGGCAGAAATCACAGTGAAGACTTGGGGCGGGGGGAAGCCCTCAGGATCAAATAGACTGGGTTTCTCTACCAGCCAAGCAGGCTGGATAGAGCAGCAGCCAGCCAAGGAATCGAGCCCAGCAGCTTCTGATGGAAGTGGGGCCCACAGTCACTGCATGCTGGTTACAGAGAAAGAAGCACAGAGCATCACATGTTTTCAGTGGAAAAGGTACCTGTCGAACCAGGTATCGAAAAACCCTACAACACAGCAGACAGCAAGCTATCCTCCGCCAGGACTGGTTCTACAGCCATCTTAACCTAACGCGACACCCTTAAAGAGAACCAGAAAGTACTACCAGCCACTTTAGCACTTCCGTTTGTTTCCAAGCAGAAGGAGCTGTAAACCCACAATGACAATTAACCCCTCAGTTGTGCCAGTGTCGAAGCATTTCCAATGCCTGTTAGATGACCAGGAAAAAGCAACAGTCATTATTTTACTGATCTGAAATAGTCAAAAAAAAAAAGAAAAAGAAAAAACCCATGCAGTTTTAACCCAACATCTGAGCAGATGATTCAAGAAGCAATCATCTTGAAGTCCTTAATTTAGCACAACATCAGCCTAAAAAGGACTTTGTTGCCTTATTCTGAAGGCTTCCATTACCACAATCAATTTTGGAATAGCTGCAGTTCTCATTCAAAACTAAACTCCCTTCCCCATGCTGCTGCATTTGGCCAGAAACGGCCTACAGTTTAAAGGAGAGGAAAGAATCGAAGGCAGGTTCAGCCTACTACTCAGTAACCAAGCACATTCCTTCTTGAGGGATGGATGAAGGGTGTAATGATCCGCTATCCCACTACACTTATCCTTTTCCAGATAGCTACACTTCCTAAGCATTCCCTTGGCCAGAAAACGTGAAAAGAGAAATATGAAAATGAGATTAGGACAACAGTTAAAAACCTCACAGCCCTGCCTGATGCGTGTAACTACTTGCTCCGGTCTTCAAAGGAAGGATGTTTTAATGCAGCTGAGGTGCATGTTTTCTGAGGTATAGCCACCATTCGCTATCTTTCCTCCACATCTTTGTCCCATCCTATCCAGCATCTGAACCCTTTGGTCAGTTTAACCAAGATCCTTCCATGAGGCGGAGCTTTAAGAAGAATGAGATTCTCATTTTTCCACTGAAATCATGAGAAAATGACAGAAATGTATTAATATGCACAGCGAAAGAGAAATCACAGAACGAACTCGACCCTTTCCAGACGTCAGACAACGCCACCACTTGACACAAAGCCACGAGCAGCCAGAATTCTGTTTTGCAGCTTACAGAGCTCCTGCTATTGCCTAGAATTCACCTCCCCGCCACCACCCCCAAACAGCTCCAGGCTGTGATTTTCCCCGCTCGTGTTAGTGGCATTTTAAGACTCAGCCTCAATTTAACAGAGGCTAGCGAGGCAAGAATTTGTTTTGCCGCTTTTGAAGAAGGAAAGCCTTTAAAATAGGTCTGCTTTTTCCATGCCTGTGAGATCCACTCAGCACCGACAATTAAATTAGGCTATTTGTTTACATCTAACATTTAAAAGAGCAGCTCCAAGCATTCACATAATAATTACAAGCAACACATCCAACAGCAAGTACTAATAGGTCAATCAGTTAAATGCTGCTGTTTGCTTAAGTTTATCACCTTCAATTATTTACCTCATTCAGTAAACAAAATGGAAAGATGCTCCCAAAGCACACCCCAAAATACACGTCCTCCATTTTACCACCGCTGCCCTTAACTGCCTGCCAGCTAAATTGCATTTACTTTCACAACATCCCAGCCACGAAGCCAAGTGCTGTTTGCAGTGCTTCAGAGAAAGGGAGACAGACAGCCCTGCGGTACAGAGACTGCACGGCTGGCCCAGGGTCACAGAATCTGGGCTTGCCTTAAGTTTGCCTCCTCAACACGGGAACTTCGTTTCTGTCTTGTTTCACCATTTTCTCCATTCCTGCCTTATCTCCTTTCAACCCCATACTCCTTCCCTCCAAAACAATGACGACTTCAAAAGTTTCCATTATTTTTTTTTACACAAGGAAATTTTCAAAAGACTCTGGCTCATGAAGGAATCTAAGACTCGGTCACAAATTTGTCTGGTATGTTTACGGGTTTGTACACTGCTGTATAAAAGGCTTTTCCTCACCTGGTGACCATGAAGAGTATACAGAAGTCGTCCTTCTAGCAAATCCAGAATTTTAAGAGTTGAATCATTGGAAGCAGTAACCAGATAGTTTCCAGAAGGGTGAAAGGAAAGACTGTTTACCACAGCACTGTGAACTAAGAATGGAAAAAATGTACACAATTATCATTGAGACCAGCTTACATAATAAGCCCAAGGCAAAATAATAAAATAAGGTACAAGCACATTCCAATATTCTGTTATAAAGTTTACCAGGAAAATTATCATTGCGGAAACATTTCACAGAACTCTTCAAAGCATTGTGAAACAAGGGCAGTATTCAACTCTTGTGCAAACGGGCACGCTTTACTGAAAGGAAAAGAAAGTTTTGCCAATTATTCTTGAGAGATTTAGTCCTGCAAAAGCTTCCAGCGTAGCCCTAAAAACGCGTCTGCGTGCTCAAGGGAGCTACACGGCTCTGTGAGAAAGCTGGACGTCGAGGCATTTGACCACCGGGGATCCGCTTTTCTCACTCCCAAGCCATTTTAAAATAAAATCTATAAGCTAGTACATTAAGGAGAACACTAAAATTACCATGAAAGACAGACTCAAAATTGGCTTTGTATAGGTTCTTTTCATTTGCTGCTTGACTAACTGGAACTGGGTTTAAGAGACACCAGAAAAGAAGTACCCACAGCTTGAAAACGCTCCCGTGTAATCAGCCAGTATAAATATTATTTCTTCAGCCTTTCAGTTCACCTCACTGAAAATTTTAGAACAGCAAGTGTAAGTAGACAAACTATTCAGAGCATGAACTTCCAATAAAGCCAGCCTTCCCGCATGACGATGAAGCTAAAGAGTTCTTTTGAAGAGAGCTAAAGAAAACGCTCTAGGAAGAAGTCAGACTCACTTTTTAAATTCACTGTAACATTAAACGTTTACCTAACGGAGGGTGGGTTTGGGGGGACTTTTTAAAACTAAGCTGCTGAGCATATTTATTTATGGCAACATGCAGTACTTCACATGTGCACAGCTTTTTGAGCTTATGTGATATTATAAAATAGTAAAACCATGCTTGAAGAGTTTTGAATATTTTGAATAATTTGTAATATTCCTCGTCCCTTTAATGTCCATATTCAGATAAAGGCAAGCGCATACTCTGTCAACTAAAGCAAGTCCTAAAGGGAGTCACATCAGAAATAGATGGAGATGATGATACACCCTTCAAGTTCCAGAGAGTGAATAATTTCCAGCTTCGCCCAGAATCTTTTCAGAGCAGAAAGAAATCACGCAGGCTGTGGCCAAGCCTTGTGAGCAGTCATAGTTTCTGCGTCCAAGCAGTTCTTGGCTGTCATACGCTCAGAGAAAGCTTTATCCATCCTCTGCCTCACCAGCTCATACCTCCCCAAAAGCATTCAGAACACCACTCCCAGAAGCTTGCCGACGAGTCCTGCAACCTCAGTCCATTTCACGTTGGAACCACTGAATCAGGTGCAGCCGGCGGAGATACCTCCCACTGACTTGTTGCTACAAGCTGACCCTTTCGCCATCCAAGCCCTAGAAAAATAAGGGCCAGTTAAGAGACTGACCCTGGGCTCAAGCATCATCCTTGCACGTTAACCACTCAAATCGGGTCACGGCAACCTACTGAGTCACTGAACATAACTCTCTTGAGCCTAACAGTGTGCTGGTTACATAAAAGTAGTAACACCTTAACAACCAACTATCAGAAAACCAACGGGGATGGACTTGACATAACCATGGTCCCCGATGAACAGAAAACCATCATCTAGCCCCCATCTAAAACGTAAAGCTGTACCAATCGCCCTTTTAAAACAGCAGTGAAAAATAGGTATGGGCTGTTTCCATGGACCTGCAACAGATGTGCCCCACACACGTTTTCACACAAGGAGAACAATTCTGGGTAGCAAGCACTGGCCATTTTTTGTAGAGGTTTAACCTGCTGTACCTAAGTAGTAAGCACCAGTGAGAGATGCAAATAAAGCACTTGTCTACTCTCCTGCTCAGTAAGCGTGACCAGAGCACGCTTCAGTTTGCCAAAACACACCATGCAAAAGGCTTTGCAGTTTGCTTTCTACTTCCAGCTTTCATTTACAAACGCTGTAGTTGGAAAACGTACTGGCAACACGAGCAACACCGCTCATGGAAAAACCACCAAATTTCAACATGCAAGAGTCTGCGGCAGTGCAAACAGGAGGGACTACTTATCTATTAACTCCTCAGTGCAACTTCATCCTTAAAATGGATTCCCCTGAAACTAGTCAAAACTATGCACTGGTTTATCAATACGACCTCATACTGAAGGAAGAGGTGCCCTCTAGCGGAATTAAGATAGCAACTTCTTTGCATAGGAGATCAGGGAACTAAATGAGATTTAGCTGCAAGGCATGCGTATAAATCCTTAGAAGAGCAGGATTCTCAAACATCTCTGAAGCAACCACCTTTGCAGCACAGTTGCATAAAATGACTGCCTACACCTCTGCAATTCATCGGATTTCTTTGGCTTTTATGATTTTTCCTAATTCAACGTTTCACACATAATTAGGATTTATACAGTAGTAGCTGTTAAAAGTAGCGCTCAAAAAAATAACACTTCGATAGCAAAAGCTTCGGACTAAGATGCCATTCAGTGAGAGCGGGATACAAGGGAAACATAATTCCAAGACACAAAAAGAAACCTGGCAGCCAAATCTAAACCACATTAGACTCAGACAATTTAATAGCAGTAAATGGAAAGCAGGAAGAGATCATTTCTGAGGCAAGTAATACTGTGTCTGGAAACATCCACTGCAGATCTTGCCACTGCTTAAAAGCTAATAAAGGAGGGTAAAGGATAATCTGACACTGTTCAAGTATTTTAAACATGCTACCTATTTTAGCAACAAGACTTTAGAAAGGCGTTTCCAAGTTTTGAAAAGGGTCACACTATTAACAGTACTTATTAAACCAAGAACCACACTTCAGCGTTCGTATTTGGTGTTGCACTGATACAATTACAATTAATCAGAACAACCATCATTAAAAGGCTTTATTTCCATTAGATTTTAACTACCAGAGAACCAGAAGCGATTGCGAGTCTGCAAGAATAACTGAAGAAATTAAAAAACAAAAGTCACCTTATACGGGAGTTCTACGAGCTCAGTCATGTTTACAATTCAAAAAGAGCTTAAAGAGTGCTTGGTTTGACTACACAGGGAGAATACATTTGATAAAAGGACCTTAAATTTAGAAGTCAAGAATAAAACACAACCAAGTTGCAAGAAGCTGATGCTAGAAATAAGACATGATTTTTATCCAAGAAGAAAACTGCTCCAATGATGGTCAAGTCACCATCAGCACTTAGCGGTAAGATTATATCATCACAACAGTCCGTCTTTACCATACACGAAGAGCGAAAGAACAGCCCTCCGTATACAGCAAAAGCACTAAAGAACCCCAAACTTTGCAGACTTCCTAGCAAGCTCTTTTTGCAGATCTCTTTTTTAGTTTCTTAGGGAACCCAAAGGATTTCGTTATCTTAATAGCTTCTCTGCAGATAATCTGCATTTGCTTTGAGATGAGTAACTCCCACTGCTCTCATCTGCAACAAGAGGTCCAGTCTTTCACAGGTCACTGGAAGGGAAGACAAACAGAAGAACTTTGCTCTTTAGACATTGCTACAGCTTACTCTGCCATCCCGTATGAAGATATAGGGAAAGTACAGAATTTATATTGAAAGAATATGCAAATTCTTTCATTGCCTGAATGAGTGAGAAAAGATTTTTATATATATATATACACACATATACACACACACAAATATATAGCCTAAAGCACTTCAAAAAGAATTATAGTTATATAAAGCCAGGAGGACCAACAGCTTTAATTTAGAACTCCATTTTTGGCTCTGAATTGACAAAGTCAGCAAGAATCAACTGCAAACTACTTTATGACTCTGCCTTTTCTGCCTGGCATTCCGCTGCAAGGCAGTGGGAGCTCCCAAACTGGCACTATCTCACGTGGACGGCAGAAAGAACACGATACCAAGCTCCAACTCTTGATCCTTGGTATGCTTTACTAATATGCTGGAAGCGGTCTTTATGAAAAGCTAGCAGAAAATGAAGTTTAGTAAGCGATCTGTACTGAAAACAGTGCCCGAGAACACATGGATTTACAAAATACTGTGGCATCCTTAAAAATCATTAGTAGTAAAGGAAAGAAGGGGTACACATTAAAGTTACTAATATGCACAAAACAGTACATTTAAACTCAAAGAAGCTGACAGGGATGGAAAAGGTCCTTTGTTACTACACAGGTCTATCAAACGGCAGCACTAATCAGTTTGACCGGAACAGGTAACAGGGTGGAGATGCCATTTGGAAGCTAAGAGGAAAAAAGATGTAGACTCCCACATGCAGGGCAAGCTACGCCAAGGACAAACTAACCCCAAAAGCCAAAGGAGACACGGGAGAAGGAATTGTAAACACAAATTATGGTCTAGAATTGAAATCTATTGGTTTTTATTCTCCTCTTTTGTTAACTTCTCATAATTTCCTCGTGAAGAACTTAACCTTTTGCTTTGCTGGAACGCATCAAATTTTTTCCATCATCTTATTTGGCAGCAAAGGCCACATCCTGTCTATTGTGCATCACGTCAAGAACAGTAAATACAAACCAAATCATATTGCAGATAACACCTCCGCACATCTGCAACATGGGGCAGATGTTTAGTGTTTGGTCTTTTTTTTTTTTTGTATTTTTTGATGGTGGGCAGAGAGGGAGAAATCAGTACTGAGGTGTTTCTCAGCAGTATGCAAGAATCAACATTGCAGCTAATATAAAGCAAGGCATGAGATCTGGAGAAAAAAGGCTTCCCGGGCAGGGCTAAGCCAATGCCTTTCTGGAAAAGCAGCAGGTGATGGGGAGGCAGTCCTCAGACTTCAGATACCTTTCCATATTAAAATACAGAGTTAAGATTTTTTCAAAGATCTTAACTTGCCTTGATAATGTTGGAGAAGTCTATTCATCCTAACGTCCCACACCTTCACTGTGTTATCTGTACCAGCTGCAGCAATGCATGTACCACTGGGATGAAAATCCACATGATTCACAAACCTGTAAATTGCAGTCAAATCCAATGATTTACATTCAACTCTTGCTTAAGATCAGAAAAAGTTTTTTCAAGGAGCGAAGCAACGTCTTAATACATTGAACATTATGGAAAGGAAGAAGTCACCTTAAGAGGGATTCGGCAGTATGAAGTATTTTCAAAACCCTACTTGCTTTTAACCCCAAGTAGAATGCAGGCTCACATCTATCTTCAAAGTTTTGCATTATAATTGTAGGACTTGTAGACTCAAAACTCCTGAAGTTTCATGGATCCAACTGTTACATCACCTTCAAACGTTAAATTAATGTCTGCATAATACATGACTTTTACTAAATTAACAGTATTTCTAGACTGGCATGTACCAAACTCAGATTGTTCTGTTATTACCCTTAAATAATTAAGATAGAACTTCATATGATTTGGGGCACAAATTAGTGTTGCCACTTAAAAGATAGCAGAGCCGATACCAATTTTCTTCTGGACTCGTATGTCATGATTTCTTATTCTGAACGCATAACTAAAATTGAACCTTCAGAACCTTCAGCGAAAGGCAGCTTTAACACCTCCTCCCACCCATGCAAGAAATTAGGTAAGATTAATAGCGCTGAGTTCTTGTAGAAAATGCTGAGGAAGCTGAGAAATTTCAATTGGTTGTTTGGAGAATCTTAAACGCATGGGAAAAAATAACGCTGCCTGAACATGTCTTTAATATCATGGTATATTATCTCAAATTAACAGAACTGTGTGCTTAAAAACAATTCAATGCAGCAAGAAACCAGAAAGATTCAGTTCACTGACGGCTTGTCCTGTGTTTCTGGACAGATTAACTTCTGCTGTGGCTGGCTCAGCATTCCCTATCAACAAAATTCCTGAATTCAACAGCTGAGGAGAACATAAAGTTTTTATTTAAATAACTCTTTAGCCTTCTAAGGATGAAACAAATAATCCCGGTACCCATCTGCCAGTACACTTCTGCTCTTTGAATCTACTTCATCAACTGGGAGCACAATAAAAGTTTGACAAAGCTAGAAGAATTAAAACTTAACTACCTCCAAAAATAAAGAATAAGAATAAATAAATAAATAAACCACAAGGCTTGCTGTGTTGGACAGTTATTGAAATAGAATTCTCAAGGTCCCAATCTGGACAAGTCATAACAACATCAAAGCAATTCTGGAAGTTTTTTGCATCAAGTTTCCTGCTGGCTGCTTCTGTAACAGGTGCTAAAAGCTAGTTTGACTCTATCTATAATGCCCATCCACACGATTTTCAAGCTCAACGGTAAGAGACGGGGAAAAATTACTGCCTGGACAAGGATCTTTTCTCTTACTGCAGTCACAAAAAGCAGGTGCGCATTCACCAGGCATCCCCGTTTCTGTGATTTCAGCAATCACAATAACGCTGGTCCTCATGCGCTGCCAGGTACTTACCCACCGTGCTCACAGAAGGAATGTATACATTCTCTGCTGGTTTTATCCCACAGTTTGACAGTTTTATCATCGCTTGCTGACACTATTAACCGTCCATCAGGAGAGAACCTGAGACAAAAATTACAGCAATTAAGAACTGCCCCCACCAAAAACATGCATAGGGTAAGCTGGATTTGGCCATCCGCCAAGTTATGCCAGTAAACGCACCTTGCTCTTCCAACAATCACACTGGTATCAGTGAGACTACAAATGCAATTGCCATAAACTGAGGAAAAAAACAACTCGTAAGTCCTCAAACTGTCCATAAGTCCACACGCGCGTTAAATAACCCTCAAGAAAGTCTTCAGTCTGACTAAAGATCTCCTAACCTACTTGTTTTAAGCGTATCGCAAGTTGTTTCTATATCCTGATTCCAAACAATTCCTGCGTTTGCCACAACAAAGAGTCAGAGTAATAATTCCTCCCAAGACAGCAGCTACAGCAGGAGAAATTACATCGTTCTAGCGCCTTAAAAGAACGCATTAAGCTTCCATCTTAAACTTTCATACGCAAGACGACACCAGAGATCAATGCATCTCTCAAGAGGCATACATCTACAGGAGTCTCTAACTGGAGAACACCACACATATTGGAAAAGCATTCTTCCTACTCTACTGTGGGCATCAATAGTACTACCAGCTGCCACCACCTCCACCACCACCTGGAAGAACTCTAGGGTAAAGCCATAGTTTCTCTGTAGGTGTAAGTCCACTAAATAGGCATACACATAAGAGTCCCTCAGAAACCTGAGATGTAAATAAGAAATAATATTTCTATTTTGGCAGCAGTTCCAGTATTTTATGCACTTTTTCATTATCTTTAGAAAAAGCAGCAGAGACCATCACTAGGCGGTCCTTGTGAATGCCTACAATGAAAAACTTCACATACCAAAATGCTTGCAGATGTCTATCTTCACGTTCTCCTAAGCGGCCTCCTTCTCAAAATAAGGGAAGGCAAGAAGCACAGATAACTTTTTTAAAGAGAGGCAGGACAAGCCCAAAAGTAACCAAACCGAGGTCATATACAATCTCTCATTCTGCTTCTGCAGCAACTTTGATATATAAAATTCTCACTACCAAGTAGAACTGAAGCAAGGATCAAACAGCTAAGCAGGAAAGTCTGCTTTAGAAAAGATCATTAAAGAAATACAAAATGGCTACACAACTATTATCTGAGGACTCAATCTCTCTGCAGGCCAGCAATGTATTTCAGTCAAGAGACACATCTGAATTAGCCTAAACAGAAGCATGTTACACATAATCATCGTGACGCTTGACTTCAAAGGACAGATCACCACCGCTATTTGTCAGAAACCTGTACTTACTTGGCACAGCGAACCCAGTTTATGTGTTGACTAAGCGAGAATAGAAACTTCTGTCTGTGAACTGTCCACACTTTGATCGTTTTATCATCGGAAGCTGTAACCAGGGACTGGCCATCACTGGAGAAATGAACGCTTCTTACTGTTGCTGTATGAGCCTTGAACGCAGTAGATTCTCCTTTGCTGTAGAGAATGAAATAATATTTTTAAGCCGCATAACAAGACAGCAAAGACACGTTATATCTGAAAACATGAAGTGGCTGTATGCTAACCAGTACTATTAACTATTACTTCTATGGGAATTGTACATGTTTACATCAGGAAGAAAATATTCATCAACCCTGAACAGCATACAGCTAAAACTAATTATTCTACTTTGGCACTGGGGCCCAGTCCAACTTGAAGCAATCTACATGGCCTCAGAAGAGGTACAAATGCCCTCGCTAATTTGTGCAACTATTTAAAAAACACGTTTACGGAAGCAACATCAGCATAAGAAAGAGGCTAAGGTTCTATACTGTTATCAGGTCTGTTACTGCAAAGCAGGCAAAGGAGGCAGTAAATGTTTTCACAGTTCACCTAAATAGATTCAAGCAGGCAGCTACCCCACAACTACTACCGTAACGGCCTATACTCCAGCTGAATGCTTTCTATGTAGCATCATACAAGAAATAACGCAACAAATTTGGATTGCCTGACGTACATTGTTGAGTAAAGCTACCATGAATGCAATCCAGACAAGACCAAAGAAAACGATTACTAATTTTTCTTTCCCCAGCATTTCCAAATAAAGGCAAGGGATTGATTTTCTTGCAAATATGCAAGACAGAGGGCAACGTATTTCAACATGCAATAGGTGTATTTTGGATCAAGAGTCCAAGGTACGTCTCTACAATGTATCCTGAACTACCATGAACGCAAAATTCACAGACAGAAGCGAACAACGGAAAGACATGGTGGTTTGCTCTCTCTTCCATTAGTATTTAACAGTCAAGTTTCATAGCCAGGTTGCTGGAAAACCAGAATCTCTCATTAATACCGAGTTCTATAGGACTACCGAAACTCTAAAGGCAGAAAAACACAACACTCTTTACCTTCCAGCAATATTCCCTCCCTCTTCAAAAAAGGTCAGACTGCCAGAAGGCAGAGAAGGACATGAAAGGCTGCTACTTTGGAAAGTTTTCTTTTTGTCAAAAACCATAGGACGTCCCCAAATCTGATAAAAACTTGTAGCAGAAACACCAAAGGGCAAAAATCTGTCAACACGGCTTGTAAAAATACAAAACCCAAAAGAGAAATCCATACACAAGGGTGGCAATGAGTCTATCAGTAACATGCTGCCCTTGAAAAGGACTGCAAGATCTCAGATTCTTCAGAAACAAAGTCCTGTCCCGCCACCAGGCTATGACACATCTTATCCCTTGAAGCTCAGAGTTTGCTCTTCTGCAAACACCAGGAAGAGCCCTTCTGTCTCTTTACAATCTGAGGGTGCGCGCGCTCTAGCGGGAAGCGACAGTGATTCACCACAGTGTTTCACCGGCTGGCTTCAAAGTCTCACGAATTCTAGGAACAGGTAACAAAGCGCATTGCAGAAGGAGAGCAATCTTTTTTCAAATGCTTCTTGTTAAAGACTGATACGGACATTGCTTGAAAGTGTGATTTCTCAATAAAGACATGACTTTCTCAAGCAGAATACTTTCAACAGTAAGGCTACTAACTTTTGTGCCTTGCTAAACTAAGATTAGTGCTCCCACTTTTTAATTACTTCAGTAGAACAATATCTCCCTTCTGCGTTTTCCCCTGTCAACAGCCAGGACGCGCTCCTCTTAATCACGCTGCAAAACTGGCAAGCCAAAGGTTGCAGATCTGATTCAACCTCAATACCCCTTTTTTTTTTTTTTTTTTTGGCTACAGCTAGAGAAGGTAAATTGACAGAGAATACTAAAATAAGCACAGGTTAAAGGAGTGCCTTGGTGCACGGCAACGAGACTGGCATAACAGTGACTCCCTTTCCACGTTGTCCCTTTTCTGACGTGACGACTATAGGTACAGCTTAGACCACAGAGCTCACATCCCCAAGCAACTAAGATAGCATCACCCAGCACAAACCATTTAGGTTCAGTTTTCCCATCACATGCCAATCCTTTCCTACAATTTATTCGTTAGCTTCCAAGAAACTCAAGAATTTCACTTTATAATTTACTTTCAGCATTATATATATTAGCAGCATAGCACTGGAAATAGCAAAAAGATACTGTCAATCTTTCTCTTTATTCCAGATGGATGAGCAGCAGAGTTAAATTTTAATTGAATGTAATTTACCTTGTGTCCTTTAATAAAGTATATGCTAGTATGTCATTCTGATCATTTCTTCCAGGAAAGTTTAACTAAACTGAATTGTAATTGAAATTGCAATCTGCACATTTTAGTTCTACTTCACTATAAATTAAGTTTAACTTTACCCCATTTCTACCATATTTATTATATAGTCACTCCATCATTATGAAAGCACTGTGACAGTTCTGTAGTTAAAAGATATATTGCAATTTGCAATTAAAGCAGGGAATAAACTTTTGTCACACGTGAATAATGGCATATCCGCCCCAGCTGTATAACTTGTTCAGAATAGAAAGTGAGTGCTAGGCGCTTACCAGAGTTCAGGCATTCTGACAGCTGCAGGTGAGCACCTTGAGGGCTGGGCATGGGGAGAAGTGGGGAGATAAATCTAGTTTAACTTGGAGCAGAGAAAGAGGGTCACTCCAGTAAAAGAGTATTACTCCAGCAAATATTACCACAGATTTTAAAAAGCCACCTTCAGAATGTACCGGTTCCACGGCACAGGTTACTTTAGGTTTAATAAATCATCAAATAAAGTTGCCAATAGTTAATCCCAACCAGAACAACTCAGCAAAACCAAATAACTAAAAACGCTTTCCCAGGTTCCTGAAGCAACAAGTTTATTATAAACTTGGGGGGTGTGGTGGGGAGGGGGGGGTGTTAAATCTGTTTCCTCTAATGCCACACACATCAGGGCTGCTTCTCACACAGGTTCCAGGCATAACGCTTCTTCCATCTTTGACAGCAGCAATTTACATGCTCAGAGGCAAAGTAACCTCTTCACGTGGCAGTCCTTTCACAGAGAGGATTCCACTGTTTAGTGTGGGCACCAAGAGACCAGCAGAAACACCGGCAGCTGCTTTTCTGCATCTCAGCTGCAAAGAGCTTCTCATTACTTGGAGCAAAATCATGTTTTCAAGCAGCATTTTGGCAGCTTTCTCCCGATGCTCTGTATTTCAATTAAATGTTCCTTACTGAACACACATATCATGTAAAACACAACATCACGGACTAGAACCAGACAAGTGAGGAGTCCTTTCAGCCTATGATTATCAAGGACTTGAGCATTAACGAACTAAGCCAATCAAGCTCTCTACCCAAAAACTGAAATTTCATAATTATATAGGAGAAGACAACAAGGTACACAAATGATAAGTAAACAGTTGTTAATCACATGCAAGCTCACAGAAACGTCAAAATACAATCAAGGTAGTCTTCTACTTTACTAATATGCCATCCTTCACTATTCAGTGGAAGACAGCTACTGCCTTTAGACCAAGAAATTAAGATTAAAAGCTACATAAGTTTGGTGGGCTACAGCAAGCAGACAAGTTAGTGACCTCTGCCCTGATCACAGAACAGGTATCTCTACCACTAAACTCCAACTTGGGATTCAGCACCTTACTTAACAGTAAGGCTTCCCTTCTAGCAGAGAAGCAAAGGATCAATCTGCTAAGAAAAAGAGTGGAGGGAGGGGAAGAAGCATCAACAGCCATGGCTGAGTTATGTTAAATAATTTGTTGCATCAGTAGAAGTTAATACCGCCGCTCTAAGCTTTGCATAGGATTTCAGTTTCTTTTTCAACACTTTAAGACCAAATTACCTCTCCTCTGTCAGAACTGCCATGTAAAATGGTCATCCTTTCCTCTAAAGGGCTCCCAATTCCAGACATGGAGAGCTGCTATCAAGAAAGAGGGAGAAATCTCAAACCATAGTTAAACATAACATATACTTACACACTGGGAACCCATAAACGAACTGTTTTATCTCTAGAGCCTGAAGCCACTAGGTGGCCAGAAGGTGAAAACTGAACACACATCACTGCATCTTTGTGGCCCACAAAGCGATAGGCTCTCATCTGAGGTCTCATACTCCAGATCATCAAGCATGAATCCATTGAGCCACTTGCTGAATTGAAAATGAAAAGGAAAAAACACAAAACAAACTTACGTTAATTCTTCTCCAGTTACACTTAAACTATCTTTCACACTCAATTCAACATCGCAGCTTCCAGCAATCACAAGCAGATTGTCCTTTGACCACTACAATTCACTAACCTACTGCATATTCTGTATTTCATTAGTAATTCAAACAAAAAGTCATGTATTGGGCTGGACTGACATTTCTACCTCTAAGAGTCAGCTCACGCAACAGCTGCGGAGGCAAAAGCCACAAAAAAGTTGCAAAACTTCTTCTAAATAAACACACAAAAGTTCTATGGGTTAAGGTTATCGCACAGCTTTTTTTTTTTTTTTTTAAATTGGGAAGCAGTCCGTCATCTGCTCTCACCTGCTCTTCCATTCTCATGCGTACTTCTATCCTCACCTGTAAAAAAAAGCCCACTACCTGCACCTTGCTTTACTCTTGGGCTCCTGAGAAAGGGATGGAACAGAACAAGTGCCTGCTCCTAACAGGAAGAGTAGAGAGAGGAAAGGACCAAAGACAAGAGAGAAGAGAAGGGTCTGGAGGGAGATCCCAGAGAGCAGAGATTCGGCTTACGGAAAGAAGGCTGTGTCCCAGGACAGACGTTGCTATTCCAAGCTCTCCCTCAGCAGCAGGAGCAAAGGGTCATGTGTGTAGGAGGCAGAAATCAAGTGCACATGCTACACCCGCTGCAAGCATAACCTACCCTGTCTTCAGCAAAGGCTCCCTACTTTGCCTAACATCCCTGCAGGATGCACTGCCGGCAGCAGATGCTGACTGCCTTGGCTAGCTCTGACTTGACAGTAGCGCGTTTCAAATGACAGCTCCCAGACCTCTCCGTGCCACTAAACTTCAGATGGGGAGAGGTAATAGCTTGTGTGAAGGGAGAGAAACTGGTCCCTGCCAAGAACACTAGGCAAAAGTTTTCCCAAATGCAATTCCATTTCAGTCTAAAATTCCCTGGCTCAGGTTCCAGTACCAACTCGGCGCCAGTTCAGGAAACTAAAGAGTTGCTCTTCCCCTAAAGCCTGTCATGCTACGCAAGTGTGCAACACAGGGGTCCTAGTGATTTGCAGAAGAGCAAATACACACCAGTGGAGACTTAACAAAGAGAAAAATTCTAGATGGCAAGTCACAGAAACAGTGACAGTAAAAATACCACTGCAAATCAATTTTATGCCTAAACAACAGAAAACTTTTGTAGATTGTCCACAGGCAAGTACAGGGTATAGGCATCTTAGCCTGCCAACAAACCAAAGCTGCGTCTGTATCTCCCTGCCCAAGTGCCAAGTGGGGCATATCTCCAGGGAGAGCTTAAAATACTCCTGGGGTGGGGGGGGAGGGAAAAAAAAAAATCAGTTTGATGGTAGTTTCTGATACCGCAGCATGATAATTACAAGGAGATTTCAGTTCATTAGCATTATGGCAAAACACCAAATAGCTTTTGCTGGAAACGTCCTTTTATTTCACAGTCATTTCAACACAAAAATAATAATTATCTCCTTTCCTGCTATCGATTCAGGATTAATATATGCCCATTTCAAACAGGCTCATTTATTATTCATGTCCCCCAGGGGGCAATGGGGGAATCTTATATATTTGTCATTTTTTTGTTCAAATCTCATACAGACAATACCTCTTCTCAAGGATATAAAAGATTCAAGGGGAGACGATATCAAGAGATTTAAATTTTAGTTACAACTACACTAAGTCATTTTCTGATGAAGATACTAAATTGCAATACCACAGCTTCCCCAGTTCTGACGCTACATGATTTAAGGATAATAATGCTCTGCCATCTCAATAAAGCACTCGTGTAGGATACGTGCTAGATGTGACCTGTTCACTACTGATTAATGATGTGACCTGTTGACTAATGCTAATTACTATTCTCATTACTAGCTTGAGCAAACAACCTAACAGAATAATAAGACCTTAGTCCTTTAGGGCTGGTTGGTTTATTTCAAGGGTGGAAAAGGAAAGGAGAGAGAAATAAAAATCGTTTTTAAAACTCATAAGAAGAGTCAAGTACACATGACTGACCCAGCAGTAACTTTAAAAAAAACTTAGAATTTGTTCCCTTTTTCACTGGATCTCGTGTACAGTAAATACCGTGAATAACACGTCCACGGTCTAGTAAGAGGAAGCTAAAACCCAGGCACTACCTCTGAAAGGCCAACAGAAAGCAATGCCAAGTGACATTCAGAGCATCCTTGCTAAACAGACATTTGTACTCTCTAGATAAAATTTTACAGATTCAAACACAATCACCTGATACAGATGCAGAATGAATTCTTGCTCTGCAAGTGAAGACAGAGAAAGCGGAAAGAAAAACACAGTAGATAACAATAAAAAAAAACAGCAGCAGGTGTTCCAAGACAGGTGGTCCAAGATGAATTTGATTAATCTTAATTTCCTCCCAACTTCCAGAGTGTTCTGTATGTTGCTAGATCAGAACAGGACTGTTATAAGTAGCATATAGCCACCTATAGCTAGTTTTCTTCCATAAAGCTATCGTTTCTGCCTTATCTTCTCTGCGAGCCAAAGCGATGCTCTCCCATGTCCACCATACGCATAGGCTCTTCTGAGCAATGACTTCACTAAGAGCCAAAAATCCTACTGGTTCCTTCTCAGTGCAAAGCCAAGAGCTGACTATAGCCTGGCTTATTAAATAGTAACTATGACACAAGCCTTGGCATAACCATTAGGAGAAATGGAAGATGCAGGAGGAAAGACTCTTGCGCAAAGGAAGAAAGAGGAATATTTCACTTTAAGCTCTGACAGGATGCACGCAACCTACCACCTCTGTGCTTAGTAACACCATTTTTTTAAAGTATGCGTAGAGGCATATACCTCTTTACCCTGAAAATAAACTCTTTGCTCTTTTATAACTCAGTACCTCCATAGCTCCCTTCACTTAACTGAGAGGCATTCTTTCTTTATCTCACGACCATCAAAACACAGAGAGATGATTTACCCAGTTGTTTCTTATTGAGACTGAAGTCCACACTAGTGACAGCATCTCTGTGGCCTTTGAAGTGTCTCTCCAGGGACGGATCTTCCTAAAAGACAACAACGTTTAGAGACTATAGATTAAGAGCTACCCTTTACACAATAAAAGCGTTTATACCCTTTACAATAAAAGCGTTTTATTTTGCTGACAAGCTAACGAAATCACGTATTCATGCCACGCACGCCCAAGCATTCAGGACAGAAAACTAGCAAGCTGTAAGACTGTTTTTGCGCTCTTCCTCCCCGATCCTAAATCAATACACTCCCACTGAACGAGTTATTCAACTCTGCTGTTCACGCTAGGTCAGATCGATTCCACAATCACGCAAAAGCACAAAACCAAATGTCAGGCTCCTATGCTATCCTGCAAGGACTCAGATAGTCAGCGTCTTATAGGAAATACCTGCCAAAAGAAGCACTTGCAAGACTGTCTATGGTTTAGCATGGCAGCCTTATAAGGAGATAGGATGCAGGTTACCCAACTCCTCAAAGCAATTTTAATGTTTTCAGATAGGTCTGTGTCTCCCACCAACACGTTACCTCGTGGCTACGGATATGTACATCTTACCACAAAAAAAGTGAATTTCACATATATTGACAAGTTTGAAAAAGGGAAAATTATAAGTGCCTGGATCTTAACCAACTTGGGCAAACCATTTGCAGGCATCTGCAACATGCTGCCCACTGCTCCTGGTGCAGAGTCACAAGAGCCGGCTTTGAAAAAGATCAGTCATGTTGATGCACCACCTGAGCAAGCAATCAAGCACAGGTCTGCTCTCACAGCTGCTCATCTCAGCCCAGACGTAGCCAAGAGCCCACTGTTTGCACAAAAAGAACAAACTTGCAAGAGTAAGCGTACCCATCAAAACAGACTGGTACTATCAGAACAACAAGGAAAAGGACTGGCTGCTACCGTTTCCCTAGGGCTGACAAACACACCGTCTCCCCACACAGCGCCTTCCAGCAAAGGCCAAGCGAGATGCGGGTCAGGGGAAGAAATTGCAAAAAGAACCATTACAACAAAGACTCGTCCGAGTTTCAGAAGTTGCACAAACCCCACTCCCATCCACACAGGCTCTACTTCTCTGGCAGCCTAGTAACCCCCTACCCCAGCCTTCCCCACTCACCCCCTACACACATAAGAATTAGCCTATACCCCCACACGCTGTCTCCAGCTGACCCTGGGGCACCCTCCGAGGCCCCAGCCTGCTCCCTCCCAGGACACGACTACAGCAGCACCCGCAGTCTGCTCCAGCAAAGGCTCCAGCTAACCACACTCATACCCCCCAGTGCTACCGCTAAACGCACACAACAAGCATCCAGCCCCCAAAAAACTAGGCTCCACACAGCCAGGCCTGATCCTCCTCGCACACACTGCACTCACATACCTGCACT